CGTAGTTTCATGCAAGGCTAGAATCTCAGCATGGTTAGAAGACGTCGTAACTTGGTAGACCTCCAAGAAATTGCGGTGTCTTCAATGGTAAAGACGTAGCCCGTTTGAGAACGTGCCTTGTGGGGGTCAGATAAATAACTTACGTTAGCATAACCAACAAGGCGAGAATCAACCTGAAGATCGAAGGGGGTGATGACACCCCTCCTTGCACCTTTGTAGTTTCGTCCCTGGGAACGACAATGATTGTTTATGAGAAAAATGATGAGGAATTTGTGAGAAAATTTGATTGGGCGATGGTAGGTGTTTGCTCCCTAAATCCTCCACGGGCATCGCGGGCAAACCGGGGATTTACTTCACATACGAGATTGGTGGGTGCGGGCGTGCCACTACTAGATATCGCTAGTAGACGGGATTTGAATGATTGAGGTTGCGCCTTTTGACTTCAAATCAAGAGATTGTGCCATTTGAGTGGGAGTTGCTCAAATCAAGGTTCTTTCTTTGCCTTAAAAATAAGGACTTTACTTATATAAAAAGATAGAACAATATGTAAATGACAAGGTTGTTTGGAAATGTAAATGACAGAGGAAAGTGACTAATATTGCAGATTGTTTGTAATTTAAATTACTGAAGATGAGTTGTACATGAAAACTACAAAGGGGATCGATACTGCAAGTGAGCAGCAGAGCTAATAAACTAGATAAAAAAAGGCTTTTGGTGAAGGTTGATCCTGAAAAGGATGAAAATTTGGTGCTGACTACAGCTTCGTATGCAAATCTGGCTTGAGCAGAGTTTGTGTATTTGTTTGTTTGATTGAGTGTTCATAATCCTTGTGCATCTGCCCCTTTAAATAGAGATCTGAAAAAAGCCACATGCTGAGAACCTTGTACTTGCCCGAAAGAAACTTGGGCAGCTTGCATTGCTTTTGCCAACTTGCATGTAGAAATAATATTTAAAAGGGAAATTTGCATCTCCACCACATGGTTTTAGCACATGTCTCCCCAACTTGTAATAAACTAACAATTAAAAGAAGCAAGTTGACTTCTTTCATATTATCCTTATCCGAAAGCTCTCCCATCCACTTGCAATACATGCATGTATCTTGATTAAACAAAGGCTTGACAAACCTCCACTACCCAAACAAATGGGAAAAACAATATTATAGTGCCAAACCTATCCACTTGTACCCAAATATCTTTCCAAGTTAGCTTTCTTGCATATTAATATTCAAATACCATATTTTACCTTAATGGCCCAAATAAGTAAAAATAGGCACATTTTGGGTGCAAACGGTAGGGATTTGATTTTGTTGAGTTTTGTAAGATCGATTTGATCGATTTGATCGATTTGACCGCAAAACTCAGTCTGCATAGTGGGTATACTACTTAGACTGTAATTTGCAAATAAAAGAGGAATGACAAAAAATGTCCATTTATAGTTTTCCAAGTTAAGAGTGGGTTTGCGGCTGAATTTATTTGACAAAGTGAGACCCAAATCCCCAAATCAAAGTTCCCAAACTCAAAACTCAAATTGAAGCCCAAAAATATCACTTGGGCCCGCAAAAGGTGCTGCTCATTGTTGCTGTTTGCACCTTTTAGTCGGTTGAGAGAGAGTTCAGACAACGGTTGTATTTCCCGGCCCGAACTTCTTTCTATTTACCTTTCTCTGCCACCCCAAAACGGATAACAAATACACACAGCATAAACCAGAGGCTGAGCAGAGCGCTTCAAAAACAATGGCTGCTCTAACTCTAAGCATTGGCATCGCCACCACCAGCTCAGCTCTACTTAAAAGGCCGATGCCGCGTCGTCCGAGGGCCGCAAGAATTTCCTGCATTGGATGGGTACCCCTCAAACTCTGCTTCCCCAAAACTTCATAGCAAATCCGAAGAATAACATTTTTTTTTATTTACTCAAATTTTGAAGTGTTTTGGAATTTGATTTGTTGTTTAATCTAAGGAAGGACCCGGAGGGTGTATTGGGACCACCGCAGACGGGCCATTTGGCTCGGATAGAGTTCAAGAGGCGGTTGGAAAAAGACGCCGATGCTCGAGAAGAATTCGAACGCCAAGTCATTGAAGAGAAAGAGCGGCGTCGAACTGTTAGAGAAGTAAATTGACAATTGGGTTTTGAATTTTGTTGTAACACTTGTTAAATAATTAGTTTTTGGGTTTGATTGTTTTGTGTTTGTGTTTGTTTGAAGTCCCGGGTTGCGCCAGATACGGCGGAGGAGTTGATAGAGTACTTTCTCAACACTGAAGCTCGGGAGATTGAGTTCGAGATTTCGAGGTTGAGGCCAAGGTTGGTGATTTAAACCCATTTCTGTGTGAAGACTGATTAGAAAGCAAAAAAGTAGGAATGCACGCCAATTGTTTGAGGAGATGCTTCAATGAATAAAAAGTTTGATAGCAGCTCACTTTTTTGTGCGTGGACAATGCGTGTATGTATGGCCTTATGGCCTATGAAATAGTATAGTGGGGGGAAGATTTTCTACTTTTCAATGTGGGATTTTGGGATCCCTCACACTCCATTCTTCCGTGTATGACATCCTCGTTTGCTCATCCCATCTGACGCTGACCTGAGTAGCCCTTTCCACCCTTTCGAGGCGGCTTTCACTATACTATTGTAATGCCAATGTTTTTAAGTTTTTTAAAATCCTTCAATAAGTTGCCCCATCAGTGGACTCTCGCCCAGACGTGTGGTAAAACCAGGTCTTGATACCAATTGGAAACGAAGGTGGCCAAGAGCTCATATAGACGGATAGACCTCATATAACGAACTGTTAACATTGATATGTCACATGAAGTTTAGGTTTTTCAATTGTATGTGATATACTTTCCAGTTAGTTGCCAACTTACAACGATTAGAAAGCCACTTCATTTGAGCAAATGCAGTTATCAATATGCCAAACATTTACTTTTTATTGTTTTGTTATTTGTTTGGTTTTGCACATTTGATTTTTTCCCCAAGTTAAATTAACTCAAAGTGGCACTAGTGCTTCCCATTTACTCTTTCTTGCACTCCAATTTATCTCTTCTGTATTATTTATGCATATTATAAATATTTTTTATGAAAAGTTTCTCCACAAACCATCCTCGTTTCCCCAATTTTTCCCCTTGCATATGTTTTATGCAGATTGGACAAGGAGTTTTTCTCGCACTTACAATATGAGCTAGGTCAGCTTCGGTTTTCTGTTTCAAAAACTCAGGTTCCTTACTGAATCTATAAATTTGGGTTAATTTCTGAAACTATACATTCAGCTTCTTCACCGAAACTATGCATTCGGTTTTGTGATGGTTTTTTCAGGATATAGAAGATAGATTGATTGAGCTGGAAGCATTGCAGAAGGCCCTGCAGGAAGGGACAGGTCTGTTAAGAGTTCACGAACTTTTTTTATAAAGACTTGGTGTTCTTGCCTGCTTACTGAAGTGCTCCATTTTCTGTTACAGAAGCATATGACAAAATGCAAACCGACCTCATTAAAGCAAAGCTAAGTCTGACCAAAGTTCTGTCTTCAAAGGATGTAAAATCAACTGTATGTGCTGCCCTTTTAACTCATTGAGCGTTAAGTTTAACAATTAAGTAGTTTGTATTGCTCAACTAAATAAATCTTGACAATGCAGTTACTAGAGATGGTTGAACACAACGAGCTGAATAGATCCTTCTTGACTCTTCTTGACGAAAACATAGCAAATGCGCACAAGGGTAACCAGGTAAATCGCCTTGGGAAAGCTTCTTTCATATTGCCCGAGATAATTCATTTCATCCTTTGTTTGTATTTCTGGTTTTTTAGCAGAGAATAAAACATACCGTAGTCAACTTTAACATGCTATGCAACATATTTTTTTATTACCAGAAAACTAAAAAGTAGATGTTGTGATATTGGTTAAATATATTATGAATGCAGTAAAAAATACAAGGAAGTACATTCTCTTAATTGTGTACTCAACTTAAAAAGTGCAACTTAGTTCCTTTTGTCACCACACTGCTCATTGATGAACACAAAGCTCAGTCTTGTACGATGGAAAAAAACTGCCTGGATCTTAATACTACGGTCTATTGGTATTCCTCTTCACTTGTAAGTGAGAAGTCTTAGGTTCGATCTCATGGATCACGAGTTCAAAACTAATTTATTCCTTCCACCCCTTAGTGTAAATATATCATTGTATTCGAAAAGAAAAGAGCACCTATAGATAGAATTAGATGAGTAGTAAAGCTGGAAGAGATTTTGGTTGTAGAACTTGAATCATGGTAATTATATTTAGGTCACTTCATTTTCAGTGGATGTAATGATCTTCTTTAGATCCAAGTGAAGCAGTAACCCAACAACTTATCTTGTATACCAACTCCTTAAATTAAAGAGTTCTTGAAACAGACACGTAAAACACACAAAAAGTGACCTTTAAATCTAATTCAGTAATTGCATCCGTGGTGAACTAAACTCCGATGATCTATATCAATGTTAATTTATGATTTACAGAAGCAAGCAGCAGAGTTCATGGAAAAGGTTCGTGGGGCTGTTCTCAAGTACATCACAGCTTAGTTCTGCGGAGGTAAATATTAAGTGCTCGATTAGTCTTTAGATGGACGTTCAATAACATTATTGTACTACTACATGCTTTGACATGCAATAATATATGTAGCGTGACATCCTACATCTTTCTACTATTACGAGAAAATCATAGAATTCATCTTCATCACCAAAAGTATAAGTGATAGTTACAGGAAATTTGTTTCACATGAATGGAAACAAAAAGCTGTCAATATGTGGTAGGATGACACTGATTTATACAACGTTGTAGTAAATTGATATGCATTCTAGTAAACAATGGTTATGGAGTCGATTCATTAATTTTCTTGTTCATTAATCGAAACACTGTTCGAGAGACATGATTCTATTTTATCATCCATCCTATCACCGTTCATGTTTTTTCTTTTCCTTGTAAATGAATATATCACTTAACACATAGATTCATAGAAATGAGAAACTAACAGTGTATTTCCTTGAAAGCACTTAAGAAGCAGTGATCCGAGAAAGTGGTTACTGATTTGGAAAGCACTTATTGACAAGCATAAAGTAAAATGCAGTAGAATTCAGAAACAGGAGCTTCTGCTTTTTTTACAATCATATGTATGCCAAGTAATATATCAGAGAGATGCTCAACACAAATCCAGCCACAGGAATTTTTTTTTGCCAAAATTTAAGCGCGAAATAGAATATGTCGTTTTTGTGTGGTTATCCGGCTTATTACGGAGGGAGTAGGATTCTCCCCCCTCTATTCTCATCCTCTTCCCTCTCCTCCTCTCACACTTTATTTTTTTTATCTTTTTGTCCCTATAAAAAAAATCGATATAAGATGTTGATGTGGCTGAATTGTAACCATTCAAGTATGAGGGGAGAGAAGGATACTCCTCCATTATGAGTACAGATCAAATGCATGCGTGCTACTATTCGGCTTGGACAGAACCAAGTGTCTCTGATTGGTGCATGTTTGTGTTAAGTTAGTGGCTATGTATCTGGGTTTGTCAACGAGCTCTGGGATCACATAATTTTTCCTTACTTTCTGTGTGTGCTTTTAGATGATGGTGGGTGGTAGGGATTTTTGTATTACTTAATCCAGTTAATTGAGATATTATGCTTAAAGCCTTTAAAGCATAGTTATTCAAGCCCATTTTGCCCTTCAGGCGCGGGATTATGTGATCAGCCAGTCGATCCACTGGTCGCCTAGAAGTATCCCCGCTTTTGAAGTATTTCGTGTAACTATTAGTACTCTTAAATTAGTTATTGAAGAATTTAGTTTTTGGGTGGAAGATTGCACAAGGTAGGCCAATTAACGGTAACTCAACACTAGACTGACAATGTTGTTGGCCAAATCCTACTTTGATTCTGCTTTTGCCCCACCCTATAAAAATCAATGTAATAAAGTAGATAACTAGGTGCTTTGGGATTAATTAAAATGGTTAGGCTTACATTAACTCCACACGGTAGATGATAAGATGTAGATTTATTTTCTCTAGAAAAGGGCTAGTAGCTTCGCCACCGAGTTCATCCTTTTGGGAATTGTGAAGACTTACATAAGCATTTCGGCATTTTATGACCATCATCATGTGATTCACCAACTCTAAGAATCGAATTCAGGATTTGGATCTTATATGGATCCTTATTGTGAGGATTGTAGGGATCTTTACATCTATCTGTTCATCGTGTGTGGTCAAAAATTATTTTAAATTTTTTATTTAAAATTATACAAACAGTATCTAATGAAAGCTGACCCCACAAAAAAAATTCGGAGAAGATCTTCATCCCGAATTCAGGATAAGATATAGATTTAAAACAAAGGAAAACTGGTGATCTTTAAAATCCTTGCAACCAAACAAAGTTTAAAAAATGTAAACAACAATAAAGAGACTACATAGGTAATAAAAAAAGACGGAAAGTAGTAGAAGAAGATAAAGGAAAAGTAGGCATGTGACCGCTTATTTTTTTCCTTTGTTACTTTAACTTAATTTAAACTACGAGATGGAAGATTTGAATTTAAAAAGAAAAAGAAAATACATGTGTTCTAGTCAATGTCGAGTTAGGAGAGATTCTGGGCAGGAGTGCCTACTTTTGGCCATGCGAGCACTTCTATTTTCCTTTTATGCAAACAAATATTTTACTACGAACTATTCTAAGTTACGAGAAAAAAGATTTAAATTCGAATGCACAAGAGAAGCATATCCATTCTAGCCAACATGATTACGTCCATTTCTACGTTTGCTTGCGGTGTTTTTATTTAATCTCCAACAAAGTAAAAAGCCTTGTGAGTTCCCTCTATATTAGCTCTCACAATCATCCAAACCTACCCATCTCTATCCCTACAGACATGGCAAGACTCGGAGATATATTCCTTTCCTTTCTAGTCCTTTTCTTCAATGTTTGTTCCATTGGCACGGCATACTCTGCCGGCGCCGCCATTGCCAGACACTCAAGCTCCACAGATTTCATCAAAGCATCATGCAGAACCACCCAGTACCCTGCCCTCTGTGTCCAAAGCCTTGCAGCCTACGCAAGTGCAATAAGGCAAAGTGAAAGGCAACTAGCTCAAACTGCCTTGACAGTGAGCCTAGCCCGGGTGCGGTCAGCCACGTCTTTTGTGACAAAGCTGACTAGGGTTAGGGGGATCAAGCCTAGGGAGTACAGAGCTGTAAAGGACTGCATAGAAAACATGGGGGATAGCGTCGACCGGCTCGGTCAATCGGTCCGGGAACTAGGGCATATGGGGAGAGCGTTTGGGCAGGACTTCATGTGGCACATGAGCAATGTGGAGACATGGGTTAGTGCTGCACTCACTGATGAAGGAACTTGCCTTGATGGATTTTCTGGTCGTTTTATGGATGGGAATATAAAGAATGCTATAAGAAGAAGGGTCAATAATGTTGCTCACGTCACTAGCAATGCATTAGCACTTGTTACTCGCTTTGCTGCAAAACACAAGAACTGATTTTCACAACACTTGTTTTTCTCTTTGCACGTCCCTGTTTATTTAGCGTTTGGATTGAATAAATCAAACGAGAATCAAGAGACTGAAACAATAGAGATGTGCAGATGGAGAAAAGGGGTGAGTGAAAATCGTTTCCTGTAGAGGTTATATGTAAATGTTAAATGGAAGAACATCTACCTTGTGTAATATATGGGATATTGTTTGTTTTTTCTTTTTCTGTTGGTTAATTATAATCAGTCATTAGTGAGAACTTTGTTGAGCTCAAAATGCAAGAACATATCCCATCCAGATTGCCCTTTTGGTTATATATATAATTAGTGAAACTAAAAGAAGCAAGATGATTAAAGTTGTCAATCTACTTGATTAGCATTTTCTAATTACCATGTTCTTGTAAGTTTGGCAGTATTGAATCAAGTGACCACTAAGAATTTTGAAACTTGAATGTTGATACGGTTGAAAATAATCTTATTGGATCTAAACCTTCAAGAAAATTCTTATTAGGGTTGATGACATATTTACTTGCATGGAATGCTTATTGTAATTGTTACGATTTCTAATTCTGTTGCTGCTACTACAAAGTATTTAGAGTACTTCGCTTCTTAACTTATACAATGTTTACTAACACATGAAATAAAAAAAAAATTTGCGAGTGTCATTAAAATTCATAATCCACAAGAGACGTGCGAGATTGATTGTAGGGCAATTGGTCGCATATCCACTTAATTAATTTTGTAGTTTTTTTATTTTGTATTTTTGAAAGAGCTGATTAGATTAAACCAGAAGGGAGCCACAGAGAGGGCAAGAGAGCCAGCAAGGCTAACAGGCCTTAACGGCAACAATAAGAGAGGAAAGATTACAGACAGACACAAACAAGAATTGCATCAACCCATCCTCCCATCAACCAAAAGCTACAACGGGGGGCACGGAAGGCCATCTTTGTCGTTAATAGCAAACAAAAAGTAAAATGGGGAGCTTTGTTACAGAATATGACTGACATATTTTCCCCTTTTTATTTATATGTAAGCGTGACAAACTCTTTCTGAATCCAAAACTTTATTAAACCTGTCTTGTTCTTTTTCCTATCACTATCAGTATCAAAATCTATTAATCTTAAGATTATCTCCAGATTTTAGGTCATTGTTATCTTATCTGGTAATAGTTGTATAGATAGGCCATGTTTGGTCTACGTTGAGTTAGAGTACTCTTCCTTTTGTTGCTGCATTGCTGCTTGTATATAAAGGAACAATGATGGAGACATTTTCTTTCGAATGATACCACATGATAACTATTTAATAAATTGATAATATCAGTCAAATATTTGACAATTATTTGTTGTGCTATTGAGATAATATACTGGTTGTTCTCCTCCGCTGAATGAGAGGAGAAAACAAAAAAAAAAAATTAAAAACAATATGTTAGTGATGTGGTGAACAGTAGAGAATTAGTTTGGGAAGAAACGTGATACACACATCTTCCCACAATTTTTTTACGAACTCTGAAGTTGTTGACCCTAGAAATTACAAAGCCTACGTGGCGCGTAGGCCAAGTATATTCTAAGCTAACTACGTCCTTCGGTGATTGCGGGCGTGCCAACTCGTCGGCCGAGGCTCGGCCGAGGAGTAAATTTGATGATGCTGCGTTGGGTCGCGCTACTGACTTCTGCGTCTTGCGATTGCGGCCGAGAAAGGAACACGTCTCGGCCTCTTGGGTTCTCGAGCCTGAAGACAAAGCTGCTATTTCTTACAAAGTTCACGAACCGAATTCGGCTTGCAATGTGCCGAATGTAATAACTGTGACACCTCACCTCGCCGAGAAGGCTAATGAGATGACCTCGACCAACAAGGATTCGAAAACCCTTCTCGACCGAGACTTGGATAGGTAATCGACCGTTCTCGCCGCAGTGCTGTTGATGCCAACGGAAGATACTGCGAGACCGACCGACTCTACGGTGACAGAGCTATCTATGCCGACTTAAGATATCACCGGTTGCTTCCACAGTGCTGTTGATGCCAACGGAAGATGTGTCAGCGAAAAAGGAAAAGAAAAAGATCTCAAGTTGTGAGAGTTTGCGCAGGGCAATTTTGTATTGATTTTGTGGGGCTCAAATGGTGCTTGCAGCCTGGTATTTATAGAAGCAGATGTGTGCCGTTGCTTCACCAATATAGAATTTGATTTTAACTCAAACTCGTCAACTAGACTTTCGGTCAAAGGCTTCCAACAGCCTATCTTTTAGATACCATGCTGGAACCAAAGCGTTATCTCCTATTTATTTTAACAGGACTCGGCAATAAAGGACACTACCTCTAATAATTCCAATGCAAGTTCAAATCTTGATCCATCCACCAAGCGTGTCCAGGTGCATGAAAATCAATTTCACTTGTGCTATGACTCTGAAAACTTTATCTTTATTTCTTTGCCAATGCCCATGCCTTATCACATCAACCAAAGGACTTTTTCATCTTGAAAATCTGACCTTGACATGCAATCCTAGTCAAAGATTCAACCTCAAAATCCACATGTCCCTTTTGTAGCAACCTAATGTAGTTTATATGATTGGATGCTTGGCACCTCGCCAAGGATATTCGGTGGTGCTCCTTGATCAATTCGCACCCTCCAGGATTATCTTAATATTTTTTCAAGATAATTACTACAATAACCCAATAGCAATATCTAGAAAAATATGAAATCCAACGGTCTAGAACCCAATCATTCAACGGCCTTGTTCGAGCCGATAGTGTAAAATCGGGTCCAAACAGAAGTATAAAAGCATTTTCTGGAATCATCTCTTAGGTTTTATCATCAAAAGCCGCGTAACAATGTACACATCTGGAAATATGTAGCTCCTCTGTTCGCTTTCTTGGCTTTAAACTTTGATTATATTGGTACTAATTATTCTCGTAGTTCTTATTTATCAAAAAAAAAAAAGTACACATCTGAATTTTAATGATACGTGATGATCATACATGTATACTGTAATAAATAAGAATGACATGATCAGACGTTTAGTCTTGTAAGTTTGTGTAACTGACCGTAGTTAGTTTTTATATAAAAACTAATGAGAAGTCAACTAGGCACGAAAACGTCCCTTAAGCTTAGTCTATTTTGTGAAGAAAATGGGAAGAGTTCCCCTCTGGATCTCTTTCATCAAAGCTCACCAATCAATTAATTCGGGTCCTTGAAACTTGATCAAACGGCTACAAATATGGGGTCCCTTTAAAAGTTATAATAATTTTAACCGTTTGATCAAATTCAAAAATTCGAATGAATTGATTGGTGGGTTTTGGTGAGAGAGATCGGGACGGGATCTCTTCCCAAAGAAAATGTCGATTGCAATGTGATTATATTATTTAAATCTGCAGATGACCAAATTAGGTGTGAATTGATTTTACTTGTCACGAATGCAATGCCAAAAGAGAACGAGGATCGTCTCCGAATTCTCTTTGTGAGGATCCTGGAAATTATCCAATCACATCTGTTCATTGTATATCGTGTGGCTATAAATTATTCTAAATCTTTATATTTAAAGTTAAATATAAATAGTACATGATAAAAACTGACCACATGATGAACAATGAACATATATAATCGTTAAAAGAGATGAAGCAAAAATCAATATAAAAGTTTGGGTTCCTTGTTTCAAAAGTAATAAGTTTATACTTAAAAAGTTGTAACATTTCTGCCATCTCTCATTGCATTCCAACTAAGCTGTTAAACTAATAAAAGGAGTTTTATACTCAAGTAATCAACCAAGTTATTGAGCTAAGATGGGGAATTTAATCTAATGATATTCTCTTCATTTATAAATAAGAGGTTTTAAGTTTGATTCTTACTAAAGAAAAATTTGAATTACATTATTGCTAATCTATTATGAGACTTAACCTACTCTCACACCCCATAATGTAGATAATATCATTTGTTAAAAAAAGGGTAAATCTCAGTTTACTACCCTCGAGTTTCATGGTTTTCAACGTTTGATACATGAAGTTTTTTTCATCCCTGAGTCATACCTAAAGTGTTAATTTTGGGATAGTCTCATACATCCGTTAGTATGACTGTTAAGTCTCCCGTTAACTAATGATGTGACTTTCATATGGACAATGACTGGACATCACGTGTCATTAAGGGTCCATGTGGAAATTAAAAATTAATTTTTTTTTTGGGTCATCTTCTACCTCCCCCGACCTTCCCTCCTCCCTTATTCGTGCATTCTCTCCTCTGCACAAACCCACCAAACCCTCCTCTCCTCTTCTCTTCGACTCGTCATACATCCACCATTCCCCCTCCATATTCGATTCCACCCAACTCCTTACCATCTTCCCAAAATCATTTCCTTATCGCCAAAGACAAAAAATTTGGCTCTATCCCATTCGCTAGATTTTCAAGAAAAGATGCATTCGAGTTCTGCAAAATGGCACCCAGATTGCCATTTTTGGAGCTGGAACCTTCGTCAAGACCCAATACGTTCCAAGGCTCTCTGAGATCTCCAACCTCCTTGTTCTTCGCGGCAGGCACCCCCTTCCCCACCGCCGCTTCTTCTCCAGAACCTCGCCAAAACCCACTTCCTCTCTTCCAATAAATCTGTTTCCTAAATCGCTTCCGGACTCCAATGTCTTGCGGGTCAAATATTTCGTGTTGCTGGAGAGCGCTTTTGGAGGGTCGAACTGCAGCTTCAAGAGAAGGTAATATGTGGTTAATCTCTTCAAATCGGTTTCCGGCTTTCTCTAGACCCAACCCTATGCCCTGTGATTTCTGTAAGCTTAGCCTCAATGCCTTGTTTGCAAATATCAAGCTCTCAATGCTATTATCATTCACGGAATGCGCCATTCAAATCCTAAAATCACGCAAAAAAAACCCCAAAAATCAAAAGTTGCAAAACTACAAGTCACACACAAATTGGGAGCAAAAAGAAAAAAACAACTTTAAGCAGCTAAATGCAATAAAATCGAAATTCGTCTTTTCTTATATTCCTTTATAAAGTGATTTTTTCTCAATTTCTCTAGGAATTATCAAAAAAATCTCATCTGGGTCCTCACCAATAGAAACCCAAAAGCTAAGAAAGAACAGAGAAATCTCACCAAACCCACAAAAGCAAAAGCAAAAACAAAGCAAACCCAAATTTTCATGAGTTAAAGACATACAAGGAACGAATGAGAAGTTATACTCATTTGAAGTTGGAGAGAGATCCAGTTCACCCGGCCGAGTCGATTTTGGGAAAATGGTAATGAGTTAGGGTTGGGTGGGTGGGTGGGTGGAGTTGAAGATGGAAGGGGAATGGTGGATGTATGACGAGTCGAAGAGGA